AGACAAGCTTGGGAGACAAGGCGGAAGCGGCAGCCAAGAGCGAAATCGTGAAGGGAGACAAGCTTCACAGACAAGCCGGCAGAGGCAGCCAAGAGCGAAACCATGAAGGGAGACAAGCTTGGGAGACAAGGCGGCAGCGGCAGCCAAAAGCCAAATCATGAAGGGAGACAAGCTTCACAGACAAGGCGGCAGCGGCAGCCAAGAGCGAAATCATGAAGGGAGCAAGCTTCACAGACAGGGCAGCAGCGGCAGCCAAAAGCGAAATCATGAAGGGAGACAAGCTTCACAGACAAGGCGGCAGCGGCAGCCAAACGCGAAATCATGACGGGAGACAAGCTTGGGAAACAAGGCGGCAGCGGCAGCCAAGAGCGAAATCATGAAGGGAGACAAGCTTGGGAGACAAGGCGGCAGCGGCAGCGGCAGCCAATTTCCGCAATCAGGAACCCATCCATTGAGAAGTAAGAACCCCTATAGCTTCGCTATCTGGGGAAAAACACCTCCGTGAACACCCTCCTTGAGCCGTTGGCTCTCAGTGATTTTCATTGACTTTCCGCTTGCTCTGCTCAGGAGCCCTCGGAGAAGACGACGACGCGGGTCTTGCGGCTGGTCTTCCGGTCTAGGCGAGGTCATTACAATTCGGTGAGGGAAATCAGAGCCCAGTGAATCCGACGATTTTCAGACAAACGCATTTGAGAAGGATATGTACAGATGTACATGCATCAAAACACGGCGCGATATGGACGAATTAGGTTCTTGCAAAGGAACATTCTTTTTGGTATAGGCGAAGTGCTGTAGATGAAAGGTATTGAACATTGACACCAACTTGTGGGGGGGCACCAAGCAAGTAGTCTGAACCATTGAGAACCCGATGATGTGTTCAATATACACCTTTCAACCAGATTTGCTGATCCATTCATCAGTTGAAGATTCACGGGGCAGAACCCTTAAAGGGTTCGCTTTGAAGACTTCACCGCGCCAGTGAGGCGCCAATGGTGTCTTGCGCGAATGGTGTTTGGATCCCACACTGAGTATAGCCGTAGCTCATATATGGCCGGATCGCAAGGAGTTTTGTGTGTTACTTTCGAGTTCAAATAGGCCAGGGCACCAGTTTCTTTGGAGGGTACTTTCGACTTGGTTGTTTTTTTTATGTGAGTCAAATATGAAGTGGCGTGTGCACACAGGGGTCACCCTGACGTTCATAGCGTTTTGATATTAAATGTTTCATCTTGGATGTGAAGAACAAAATTTTACTTTTGAGAGTTCAAAAAGGACCATTGAAATTGAGGCTAAATTAGGTTCCTTTGCTAAAATCCCGATTCAGCACCAATTAAATTCCTTTTGCAAAAATCCTCTTGGGTTTAACTGACTGAAATCTTGGGTTTGCCGAGTCTCAGCTGGGCAAAACGTCAATCGAGACGAGACCCTGCCTGTGGGTTGGAACAGGTGAAGCTGCCGAAGCTTCTAGAAACCAAAACGACCGAAGATTGTGGAGCAAAGATTGGCAAAACAACAAATCAACGCAAACATTCCATGCTGCTGGATTTGGAAAACAAACGAAACGTGCACGTTCCTATTTTTACCCGCCATGAGTCAATCGCTTTGTATCATTGCATTTATGTTTGACTCAAGGATATCCTGTTGGTTTGTGAGGGGTTCTATAACGACCTATAGGCATGACGTGGATTTTTTTACACCGACCATGTACCATGGTGTAGCCAAGACACGTACTACGCTTCGGCTGTTCATAAAGGCGGTCCTTGACCCAACCAGACGCCGACGATTCACTGATCAGTACTGATGAAGTGTGGGATGGGATGAGTGAACATCTTTCGCGAATCTCTCTCCGCACAGTTGGACATGAGAATCGAACGGGCCGTGGCCTCGCATCCTTGGCCCTGGCTCCCATGAGATCTGTTCGTTGGCTTCAGGTTTCAATTAGATTGATTCCTTCGAACCCATTTTGCAGACTTCAAGAGCCCATATGCTTGGATAGGTTGGGACTTGGATTGAAGGAAAACACATGTGCATGCAGCTTGCACTCATCATATAGATGTACTTAATGTGGGTTGTGTTCTTGCATTTGCACAAAGTCCCCCAAACAATGCGGGCCTTATGCACCAACGGCATTGGCACCATGCTATGACACCGAAACAAGCACCGTGGCAATGACAACCTTTCGCAAATGGCAAGATCCTGTGGGAGTTGCTCAGAGGAGATCGGTCTTTGTTCACATGCACGTTGGTGTGATGTCTTCGTCTTTGAGCTGGTTGAAGTATCCAGCCTGGGGAGCACAACTGGGTCTCTTCGATTTGTTGTTTGGAGATCAGGAGATTCACAATGATTGGTGCAGTTGGAAAGGACTGATCTTCAGCCCAAGGATTCGCTTGATGTTGATTGAGAACTTGCATGTCACTTCGTGTAAATCAATGGGTTAAAACCCTGGGATCCGAGGCTTGAACGGAAACGTAACACCGGCCCTCATGTGTAGAAGCACCAGATGTTCAGCCCTGAGTGTTGTAGCTAAATAGAGTTTTGGGGGTTTGCCTAAACTCGGGCGACCATCCAACCGGAGCTGTTCAGCATGTTCAGCCCATGTTTCAGCCCATGTTTCAGCCTAGCCTGTAGAAGACTCACAGCACAAGAGACCCCAAAGCTGGACCCGGTTCCAAAGACCCTGCGGGTTCACGCCTCATTCAATCAGTCCAAACCACCCAGTGATGTCCGAGCTTTAGCCAGTGATGTCCGCCCCTTTGTTGAAAACGGACGGATCTGAAGGTTCCCCTGAAACGCGCGGGCCCGAACCAAACCATGAAAAAAACAAAGGTTTTCACTATACAAAAATCAGTTTCTTTACTAGGGAAAACCAGCTTTTTGATGGTTTGTGGGGCCCCTGGTTTGCGGTGGATGGACTGCGAACCGCTGAACCGAACTCCTTTGAGCCGTTGTAGTTCCAGCAAAGTCGTCCGGCACAGAATGTGTGGCCCACCCTATTTTTTTGTTGCGCTTCGAGCCAATGAAGGCCATGGGAACAGGCACGGGTGGTGGGAAGGCCAGAGATCATGGCTGGCTAAGAGTGGGTGTTTGGAGGTGCAAGCTCTTGAAAGGAGTAGCGAAATCTGTTGAACTGCTGAGAGTTTCGTCTCCAAAAAATTGGGAGGTGAATGGTCTTCAAACAGGAACAAGGTCAAAAGCAGGGAGTGTAACAGGACACCCACCATCACCCAGTTTCCCATGCTTAACGCGCTTAACTGCGCGCACCTGTGCGTGCGAGTTACATGCGACTTCAGCTGAAGTGTACAGATCTCAACTGGTCACAGCCATGTGATTTGGTCCCAGTCCCCACAGAGCATCCCGCAGGATAAAACCCCATGTTCTTTTGTAATTACCGACATCATCCATCCATATCCATCCAAGATTTCATCCTGGTTGCTTAGAGTAGTTTGGATGTGATGCCGTACCCAAGTAAGTCAAAAGACTAAGAATCTATTGATCGGTTTGTCAACGAAGTCTTTTGGTTTTTTATTTGTAAAGCAAAGTGGCCTATCTCACGAAAGCCATGCAAAGAAGAAGACGAAGTAAAAGATGAATAATAATAAGAGGAAGAATAGTAATAATAAGAAGAAGAAGAGGAAGAGGAAGAGGAAGAAGAAGAAACGAAGAAGAGGAAGAAGCAGAAGTACAATGAGTCCACTCCTTTGCCTCATTGCGTGATGTGCGACTGGGAGGCCAGAGAGTTTGCTTTCAACTCGAAGCAGACATGGGACACCATCACACTTGCCATGATGTGCAAGGAGATTCTGTCATTATGGGCATCGGCCTATCTACAGCGTCATTAAAAAAATCGAGTGATTGAGGGTAGAGCGCCACAAGAAAGGCTGTATCGAAAGACTTGTGGCTTGGTCCATGCATACCAGGTTCTATGATGACACAATGCCATTCTCCATGCCACCCAGTGATGAAGGTTGTTTGATGGAAGCACTGTTGTCTCTTCATTTGCCGCAGCTGAAACAGCCTCAACCTCCCACCGGGACCACCAGATACATCACTTCGCTCAGTGTCGCTCCTCCTCGTCCCGGACGCGAGTCCGCGATGAGCGTGGCCTGCGATGTACGTTTGCACCTCTCGGAACTGTGGCGTCATCCGGAATCCCGCTTCTACACCGAGAGGACCGACACGGCGGACCGCGGACGGACCGCGTGAGTTCGTGAGTTCGAGAGTCCGGGAGAGACGGTCCGGTCTCCCGTGCCGGAGAGGTGCTGAGGGTGGGGCGCTAGGGTCGGTGGATGGTCGGTAGAGGAGGTAGAGGCAGTGGAGGCTGAAAGATAGTGTTAATTCAAGACGTCCAACAAACATCTCAAGAATGGTTCAGAGTTGTGATCCTTCAGGATCATTCTAATATATTCTAATATATCATTCTCATATAGGCGGTGTACTTCACAGATCTTATGCAGAGCATGGTATGTTCATGTATTTTCCGCACGTGTTTGCCCTGCCGCACACCTGACCTACTGACCTGCCCACCTGTCGACGGGGCACACGATCGATCTCTTTCGAGGATCGTGGGCTTCGAACGGCAGTTGGAGCGCGCACAACGGGAGCAAGAGGAGGTTCACTTGTCCTTCCAGAGAGTCCATGAGGACTCCGACTATCCGGGGATGACTCAGAAAGGTGGGCGAAAAGGATCAAAGGATATTCACCTATACAGCCTATATGCCACCATAGAGGCGACATTAGGCGACTATTAGGGGTTAAGAAATTTAAAGAAACAAGAGACCCATATTTGCTCCCTCTTCAGATGAATTATCAATACATCGTCAATAGTACCGTTGAAGAGAGGCACAAGATGATGGCCAGATATATACCTCATGTACCGTGGAGTCCAGTGAAGTTTGTGCCATTTGCCATCCGGAATCCACCTGCGAGGTATACCATTCCATTCACCAACCCCAATAAGCCCCAAGCGATCCACTGATCCACCTTCTCAGGTTCGGTATGAATGGACCCTTCATGGCACCTATACATGTCTCAGTGTCGAACACATCACCGTACCTCAGAGGGGTGCCAGTGTATCGCTAATAGGGATCAATAGTTGGACAGGAACCGGATCTCAAGGTGGCTGCGTTCTCAGTATCTCAGGTGGTACCAGACCGACATCGATGTACGTACATCAACAGGTCAAACCCGGCCGAAGGCCTGTCAAAAGCGGGTGAACGAAGACACCCAGCCTCCAATCAGCTTATCCGAAACAGGAGACCCTCAATGGGGGACTCCCCCCGCCCCCTGTTTTCCCAACCTCCAATCTGATTCCAATCTCTATCTGTTAGAGTCTAACAAGCTTCAGGTTCCCTCCAGCAACCACCTCACGCCCCCCACAAGTCGCCACGGGCAAAAGAGTTTCGGCCAGGATCTGCGTGTGTCCGGAGAAGAGCAACGGCAGCTCTTGACCGAGCAGGAGCAGTCGTTGCAGTGCCGACTTCATGCCGGTGATCAGGAGACCTGCACCTTTGTGGCACAAGATGAGAAGATTTGCTCCTCGGATTTGTTTATGTAACGAACATGGCCAGAGGTGCACCTGCTTCCTCGAATAGTCAAATTGCCCGGGATTGGTATTCTATACCTGGGAAATTGTATATATACTTTGCCAGGCGAAGGTGTTTAGCTTCTTCAATCAAACATGGATTGCCTTTACAGGATTCATGATGCCATTTCCAGCACAGGTGAAGAAACTCTGACCAGGTTTGTTGGGCCTTTTTTGCTATTTTTTTGTTGGTCAAACACCTGCAGCTATGCCAGTGATTCGTCACCCTCCAGGATCCACGTTTCGTGCCCTCCACGTTTCGTGCTTCGTGTCCGATGGTCGGGGTGCTTCCTTCGGTTTTTCCCACACATCCGGGTGGATCCTCGGTCCGTTGGAGGAGGTGGCATGGGGTGTTCCTGGCACAGGTGGAGACATGGTGGAACTCTCATCATCTCTGACCAGACCCTCGTCCCCCAGACCCGGTATGACCCAGTTCTTGAAATGCCAGCGAGCTTGGCTTGACTGTAAAAGCCCAAGAGCGCGCGCTGAGCGTCTAAGATGATACGGGAGGCTCCACCGAGCCTCCAAGCACTGATGTTAAATTCATGATTTCCCCATTCTTCCAAGCCCCGCGGGCGAAAAAAGCAACACATAAAGCAACCCAAACTGGTCTATCAATCCTCATTTCAATCCACTTCGCGCCCAAAGCCACGCCGCGAGGCGACCGTCTTCAGCACTCGCTCGCCACGCGGCTCGCACGTCTGGCGGACGAGCGACGGCTGCTGGAGGCGCAACGACGGCTGCAGGGCGATCTGAGGGACTTGGGCACCTCGGCTGCGAAGCGAAGCGGAGAGCGAGGCGAGAGTGGGAGCTGCGTGGGAGGTGTTATTTCACCCGTCCCCGATCTTGGAAGAGGTATATATAATTAACATTAATCAAGTTTAAATATAGTCTAGACTCATTTTGATATTTCAATCCAACCATACAAGAAAAGGTTTTATAATCCAATATAATCCATATACTCCCCGTATAGTGTCCTTCCATCATAGTCCCCGATCTGGAAGAGGTATTGCGATAGAATGTAGATGAATTAATGTATATAGACTGTTGGCTATATTTCAACGACCCAGGGGTTCACTTATGTTCGTTTAGGGTGTGCTTTCAATGCAGATCCGGCTGTTTGGAATCTCTAGTGGAAGACTTAGACATCGATCTGCACACATAGGATGATCTGTTCCTTGAACCCACCTCGAGCTATAAGGCTGGCAGTGGACCTCACAACTTGTTTGTTGTTTCACTGGCAAAGTCTCAGAGGAAGGATTCATTTTTAAAAAATCCACATTGGAATCAACTACATATTTGTTTGCATTTCTTCCCTCTTAGGAGTCCCTTCTTGAACTTGTATCGCTTTGCCATGGCTTTGTCCAGTTCCCAGAGATTTGTGCTTGGACTTTGTCAAAATGGAATCCCCATCGCCCCATTCAAATCCATTCAAGGTCTTCGACACCCTATACTATGATGCCGTTCTATAGAAATGTCTTTCAATTGCTTTGTGCTTTGTTGCGGGAATGTTTGTCTGCAAGTAGTCACACAGTCACACTTCTCCGCAAGCAACGCGCCTCATCCACGAGGGTTTTCCGTTTTGAGGACGGCAAGCAACGGATCTGATGGACTGGGCAACGGATCTGGTGGACTGGGCAGGTGGAAGTGGTTGGTGGAAGTGTGAGGCCAGAAAAGCCATCAAAAACCTCCACGGATCCACATAAATACCACTTTTTGAGGGTGATTTGAGAACTATACATAATCATAAATCATTTTTCTGTAGGCTCCAAGGGAGCGCCCAAGCACCTTTCTAAGGAGGGAATTGAATCCCTAGGGCTGGAGAGAAACAGCTTCAAAGCTTGCAAAGCTCTTCTTGTTTTTCAATGATAGAGACCTAGCTGCGGAAGGGCTGGTTGATAAATGCCTTGTACGGATGTAAATCAATCATCAGCAGTGAGAATGGCAACGCATACGAGGAGACCAATTTGCTTTTGGAGGAAACATATGGTTTGTCACTCCGTGTCACTACCATTTGTTTGATCATGTTTGATCCAAACAAATGATCAAACAAGTCTGTTTGTCCGATCAATTCCAGGGCATCAGCTAGTAGACTTTTTCGACTGCAAGGGCATAAACATCCCGCGTGGCATAAACATGGGGAGACTTAACCACTACTGCCCTCCTTTCCGGGAGGACACCATGAACCGTTCGATCCAGGCGCGCGGACCTGTGTGGGCGGCCTCGCAATGCTTGTTGAGGTACCAATGTAAACCTCGGAAGACTTATGTTTGCTGTAACTTGTAGCAGCCTCAGCAGCTCAGTAGCAGGCCCTTGGAACTTGATCTAGATGAGAAGATCAGTTGTATCCAATCTGAGATCTGAGTCTGTCTACCACGGACCCTTAGTCTGGCAATTACTAACTCTTGTATGTGTTTGGTTCACGCTGGAAGAGGATCCAGAGTTGGTTACCGCGAACCTGCGAACGGCCTCAAGTCACCTGTGGAAGATGTGCATGTTGAAGGTCTTTGAAGCTCCCTTCCCAGCAAAACCGCAGTGAATTACACCCTGAGTTTCTTGGAGAACTATATTCCTTCTGTTATAAACCATGATAAACCCAAGGATGTAGAAACCTTAAAAGATGATCCCCAGAGTATATATTCATGCATAGCTGCATATAATTGTTTCAATGTATCAAACGATGCAAAACACATCAAAACACCATTGTTGATCGAGCCATTGTGAAGGAGTTCCCCTTCGGCCCAAGTGGTCTCGGAGCTGTTCTGGTGTCAAACCCTCGGAAGGCTGGCCCGACTACCACCATCGTTACAACGCACCACATGGACGACTTCCATCCGCCGCCAGTTGTGGTACACTCCTCAACGCATCACGTGGACG